ACACTTAAGTTAAGAGATATAAAGTTAATTTAGTAATAAAAATGAAATAGAAAAATGACAAGTTTCAGTTTAAGCCATCCCATTAGTAAAGGGTAATTAGATAGAGTTTAGTTTTAATACATGGGATCACTGATGTAAAAAGATTTCATTGAAGTAGTTTGGTTATAACTTTTGGCTAAATATACCCAGTTCCAATTTTGTTTGAAAGATGAAGTCTTTTGTGGAGGATGGTCCGTAAAACAACCCTGTTACAAAGAAAAGACATTATTTTTGGGAATGAAGTTCCTTCTTTTTAGGACAGTTGAGTGGGATGGCGCAAGAACAGGGAGATTTAAGCTATTTTGTGGGGCTGTTAATGGTTGGGTTCTATCTTAAGAGTGATGGTGAGGGTTATAAATACGGGAAGAAAGCATGAGAGGAACATAAGTGCACTCAACATCGAATAATAACAATAATAATAAAGTGAAGTGCACTAAACATCGAATAAAGTGAGAGGAGAAGATGGCCTACTTTGTGCCAAAACATCTTCTCTCTTTTGCTCTCTCTGTCTCCGTTCTTCTTCTTCTTCCGGTGGCCTTTTCCGTTGGCCCGGAAGAGGCAGAACCCATATCCTACCATGGCGGACCCTTAATCAGTGGCATGTTGAAAGTTGGCATAGTCTGGTACGGCCCAATTCCAAGGTCCCAAAGGAAAGCCATTTTGTCCTTCTTCAGGTCCCTCAACACCGTCACCCCTACCGCCGATAACATACCCCAGGTCGCCACATGGTGGAACATGGTGGAGAGTTATCAAGCATACGCCAAACCAGGTGCAGCAGGTTCTTCAAGGATCACGGTCAAGGTGGTAAACGAAGCTTTCGTGCCAGACTATGACTACGGAAAAGTCCTCATCAGAGATTTCATCAAGGGCCTTATACCCACGGCAACCGCCGGAATTCCAGACACCCTGGCTGTGATCGTAGCCTCGAAGGGTGTGACCGTGCAGGATATGTGTGCAGGATCATGCGCCCAGCACGGTCTTATAGATAATCAAACTTATGTTGCCGTGGGGGACCCGGAGGACGAGTGCCCCGAATGTGCGTGGCCATTCGTTGCGAGCAGTGAAAAAGAAGGCGAAGTGATGTTGCCACCAAGCGGAGATGCCGGAGCAGATGCGATGGTGAAGTTGTTGGCCGGAGGGTTGGCCGGAGCAGTCACAAATCCTTTGGGTGACGGGTTTTACACAACTGCACGAGGAAACCATTTTTTCGAAGCCACAAGCATGTGCCCTGATGTTTTTGCATCAGTCGAAATACCCGTCGACCCCGTAAGCGGTGGTGCCTACAATGTTGTCGGCGACAAGGGCACCAAGTTTTTGCTCCCTGCCATTTGGGACCCCAAAACCTCTTCCTGTTGGACTCCTCTCTAGATTCTTTTATTATTTTATTATTCTATTATTCTTAAATCATATCTCTCTCTTTCATTAATCTTTTTTGACAATGGAGAGTAATATTTTTTGGGACTCTAATAAACACTCATTATCTCACCATTCTTTTTTATTTTACATTTCCTTCTTACATTACATCTATGCTAACGAATTTCGCACACGCAGTCATGAAAACTAAAAACAGTATAATATTAATTAAGAATTAAATTAGTATTAACTTAATTTTACTAAATGTGAAAATTATTATAAATTTGTTTCCTGTTTTCCTATTCTTTCATGTTCTACCTTGTAACATGTGTGGATGAACTACAACTGCAAGTGGCCAATAGTAACGCTTTTTATTGAGACGGATCTTATCTTTGTGCTTAGTCTTCACAGATTATATCAGTGGGCGCAGGCCGAAATTAGAGACGGAAAAACGAAACCACGGCCAAGGTTGTTACAAAAGACACAGATAAACATAATTACATTAAACTATATCAAACTCTACTGTGTTCTGTTCATCTGCTACTTGTTTATGACAAATTAATAATCCAGTTTAGGCGAAGTGGCAAATTGCGTGCTGAAAATGATAAAAACAACATGTTAGTAAAGTGATATAAACAAATTGCTTAACCTATTTTTTAATTTTATTATTATTTTAGAGATAAACTTTAATTAAAAATAAACGTAACTGATCTCAGAATTGGTATTCAACTTGCTACGCACCGGCTAGCAGGCTTACTTACTATACATACGTACAAGCAAAGAAAAGCTTCTTCCCATCTCATACCACTTGCGTCCCTATAATCGAAATTACATAATATGTTTCTTCTATATATGGATTAAATAAAATAATTAGTTACAAATTTCTGAAATAAAATAAAATAGAAAAACGGTAGGAAATTTTTATTACATTTACATTTCATATATATATTTATATATACACAAACATTGACATCTGTACTTACACGTGTCCATCTTGAAACAACATTTCATGACACATAGTTGTAATATTGTAAGAAAGATGTCCAAATATATGAATTTAAAATTAAAAAGCTTAAATATTATTTAATTTTTTGTTTTTTTATTCAATTTAATTTTTTAATTTAATTAAGTCTTGATTTTTGTTAAAAAAAATTAATTATGTTTTTCTAGATTTGTATAAACAAAGTTAACATCATATTTGTAAATGTTGTGTCAAATTATTATATTTTTAATATTTTATTTTTAAAATTTTAATTTTTCTACCTGTCATGTTCGTATTACGTGAGAGTAAAAATGTTACGTATTAATATAAATGTCACGTATTATTTATTTTTGTTTTACCTAAATGAGTTTCATTTTCTTTTAAATTAAGCAATGTTATTCTTGTCCAATATAACCAAACCACTAAGTTTAATGAATATATTTAAGTTAAAATACTTTTTTAAAATATACATATCAAATCACTTTATCTAAATATTAAAAATAAATTTATTTTCAATTTAAAATAAAAAATACATATTTTAAACTTATATTTTTTTAAAAATGTTGATCAAAATGGTTTGTGTTCACAATCAAGTTCATTGTTAACTATAAACTCATCATTTAAAGAAGAACAAAAAACAACATATTAAAATTATAAATGTTAAATTGTTATTGTAATTTTTAAATTTTAATATTTAAAATAATTAAAAAGTATAGTTTTCCTTAATTAACTTAGTTATAAATTTAATGCCACTAAAAAAATTTAACTTTACATTATTTTTACAAAAAACCGAAACTATAATTAAAAAATAAATAAATAAAATATCTTAAATTTACAAAATGATGTCAGTGTAACGCCCCGGCAACTCACAGGGACCATCAGCAAATGCATTTTGGTGATATGAGTAGTCAAATCAATTCCTTTAAGCTATCCTTCAACCGTATAGTCCCATACCTACACAGTCTCCAGATCCCTCTCATTCCGGTGTATGTTCGATTCATTCATGTACCCCTTCCACCGGAAGCCTTGCCAGGAGCCGCTCATTGTCTGTGCCCCCTGCACCATGCTCCCCGCACCGGCGTCACTCCCTGCCCTCGTCAGTGCCCGGGTGTCACATGAATGTAAGGACTTGGATTTGAGTCAGCAAAAAGGGGATGACAAGTGGCAAAGGATGAGAGGTTGAGTACTTTAAAATAAAATTACATTAGTTTGGAAACAGTGGGTTTTAACTCATTCCTCTTGTCTGAGAAACCATTCCCCTTCCAGCAAGCTCTCTCCTCCTCCTACATCTTCTCCCTTTCCATCCTTCACACTGAACCATTAAAATCTTGATTAGGTGCTGCCCCAACGATCACAAAGTAGCGGGTGTTGCTCTTAGTCGGTCAATTTTCCCAAATCTGAACCGGTAAGAAAACCCCCTTTCTCATGTGCCCTAGGGTTGTAAGCATGTGATTGAACTTGGTGCATGCAACCCATTTCGTTTTCTTCCATAATCTAGCTTCTATTTGGTGCTAAGATTCGTTTTCTATCATCAATTGATGATTTATAGGTGATTCTAACCTTTTGAAAGTGCAAGCAAGTGGTCTAGGGTTTCTACTTGAGCTTGGTTGTCTACACTAGAGGTAAGGGGAGCTAGTTCTCTTTTTGATTTTACTGTATGACGTGATTACATAATGATTTTCAAATTGGTATGTTGTTGGAAGCATAATTTTGAATTTTGCTAACTTGAAATGCATGTATGAAAGTGTGAGTGCTACGTGAATGTGGTGATTGATGGATGTGAACTGTTTGGGATGATTTTGAGTGATGAATTATGTATGTTGGAACTGTTTTGGTGTGTAAAATTTGTTATGGTGTTGATAGGAAGGAAAATCAAGTGTCTTAGGGTCACTTTTTGGTCATTTTAGAGGAAGTGAGGTAGGGATTTTGAGTAAATGAAGGCTGCAGTGTTCCTGGACTGTTTGGGCAGCCTAGACAAGTCCATTGTGACTTGTTAGAAGCATAACAGTAGTTGAAAACAGGTTCCAAGTAGTGGAATCGAATTTGGGTCCCTAAGTTGTTGAAATTAGTGTTTTGGATGCTGAAAGTGAACTTTAATCACTTAAAAATGGTGGTAGAAATGTTTAGAATCATTTGGATAAGTTTAATTAAGTCTAAAATGAGAATTAAGAGTCTAAGAAGTTGGGAAAAGTGGTTAGAAATGGTTAAGGGAGGTTCTGTTACCATTCTGCAGAGTTCTGAGAATTCTGCAGAATTAAATTCTGCAGAACGCGCAAACTGAGCGTTCGTCCATGGCGGAGCTGAACGCTCGGCCATGCATGTGCTGAGTGACGTTCGGTCAAATGTTGGTTGGATGAACGTTCGGTCTTAGGAGATGATAGTAATAGCGTTCGTCCATGGGAATGTGTTAGTGATTAGCGTTCGTCCTTGTCTGGGGACGTTCGGTCAAAGGTTGGAGTGATTAGCGTTCGTCCTTGTCTGGGGACGTTCGGTCAAA